TCAGGACCTGAGCTGAAGGCAGATACTTAACTGACTGAGCCACCCAGGTGCCCCCGATATTTTCTATTCTGTTCTACTCCTTCTTCTTCCCTCTTTTTTTTTTTTTTTTTTTTGTTTAAAGTAGGCTCCAGGGCGCCTGGGTGGCTCAGTTGGTTAAGCGACTGCCTTCGGCTCAGGTCATGATCCTGGAAGTCTCGGGATCGAGTCCCGCATCGGGCTCCCTGCTCGGCGGGGAGTCTGCTTCTCCCTCTGACCCTCTTCCCTCTCGTGCTCTCTATCTCTCATTCTCTCTCTCTCAAATAAATAAATAAAATCTTTAAAAAAAAATAAAATAAAATAAAGTAGGCTCCACACCCAGCACAGAGCCTAACGCGGGAGCTTGAAGGCACCACTGTGAGATCAAGACCGGAGCCGAGACGGAGAGCTGGCCGGCGACCGAGGGAGACACCCAGGGGTCCCATTCTTCTTCTTTGTTCAAATGCTTGTCAAGAGCTATGGAACCGAGCTCAGGACCTGCTAATGGGTCTGGACCTACAATCTGAAAACACATCAGGACAGAGCTCCGAGAGCAAGCCAGGGAACAGCCTTGGACCCCCAACCAGAAGAAGAAGAGCTTGTGCATGTGTGTGGTCTCTTCCCTGCCTATGTGTCTCTTCTGCACGAGAGAGAAAGCAGGGCACCCAACACCTGCACCACCGCTCACACACACTACACCCTGCTTACTAATTCATACCTTAACCGCCTTCCCCACGAGCCCCTCGACAATAGAAGGCTGTCTGTCCTTTGTTCAGAAGTGTGACAAGGAGACTGAGCAGTAAATAACAGGAATTTGCTGCATTAACATTCATATCACAACGCAAGGAGCCAAACCTGCTCTCTGAGAGTTTCCAAGTAAGTCCCTGAGTGAATGGTTCAAGTACAAAATCAAATTTCATTTGGTGTTGAAATTCCTCAGAATTCTGGGCTGCTAAACGGTCTTGTGTTTCCTTGAGTTTCCTTGCTCTTTTATATACCCTACAATTCAATTATAAATTCTTTCCCCGCGCTTTTTACTGTTTTCAAACATAAAATACAGTCACTGAACAGCTTAGAAACAAAGATCATGAAATATTTTGCCTGGATTGAAATTCTTACAAATATTTTACACTTAGTTGGATTTCTTGTGGAATTTCCATCCATAAGCAGAAAAACTACCAAACATCTTCAGATATTTAGCCTGAATTTTAAAAAAAAATTTTTTTTAAATAAATAAAACCTATACAGAATTTGTGTTCAGGAGGCTCAGCCTCAAGAGTGAAGGTAGGAAATATGGGTGTTGGCAGTTGTCCAAGAACACTGGCAAATGTATCAGTGAATGAATCTAGAAGGGGCTGGAACAAGGAAAGTCTCAGCTTGAGAAAACATTTTCAGGAGTGTCAAAAACTGAGTGTATGTGAGCAGACACCGTATTGGAGAGTCAGTATGTGCACACAATGTTGAGGAAAATATCCTTGTAATGATCTGGGGTTTTAGCTCCTGCGAATGGACTGCAGGGAGATGAAAAGACATCAAATTAGGTCTCAGAGGTAGGAATGTGGAGCACGAAAGCCTGGAAACATCCTCTTTGAGCCCATGTTCTGACAGAAAAGAAATCTCTCTCAACTTTGCCATGATGTTCAATGCAATTAAAAAGCTACAGAAGAGAATTAAGATGAAATCAAACTCAACATAAACGAAATACTGATTACGTCCAAGGTCTGAGGATGCTGGGGGGGGGATGAGGAACAGGGAGCAGGGACGAAAAGGAAGCGGGTGGAGGAGAAATGTCTGCATCTAATTAGAATGCACCAGAACGAAGCAAGAACCAGCAAAGAAGTTTAAACCAAAGACGAGGGTCTGAGGGAAGCGTCTGAGGGTCCAGTACGGCTGCCCCTCAGAGCACACGAGGTTCACAACAGATGAGACAAAGGGCCTCACACTTCCTTCCAAGCTCCCAAACTCAAACTGTGTGGTCTTGCAGGTCTGGCTTCTTTCACCTGCCATAAGGTTTCTGAAGTCCCACCACGTCGTAGTGTGGATCAGCCCTTCATCTGCCTCCACGGTTCGGTTTCCACGGTTTGGCTACTATGAAGACTCCTGCTGTAAACATTCATTCACACGTAGGCTCCATTCATCTTCAGTGATACCTAGGAGTGCAACTGCTGGGTTGTGTGGCAAATCTGTGTTTAGCTTTATTTTTTTTTTTTTTAAGATTTATTTATTTGAGAGAGAGAGAGAGAGAGAGCATGCGCGCACATGTGGGGGTAGGGGGGGAGAAGGAGGGGCAGAGGCAGAGGGAGAGGGAGAGAGTGTCTGAAGCAGACTCCGTACAGAGCACAGAGCCCAACTCGGGGCTCGACTCCACAACCCCGAGACCACGAGCTGAGCCGGACGCTTCACCGACCGCACCACCCAAGCACCCCAATTTGTGTTTAGCTTTTTAAGAAACTGTCTAACCAGTTTGCAAAGTGGCTGCACCATTTTACATTCGCACCAGTAAGGCATGTGTCCCCATTTCCCACGTCCTCTCCAACACTTACTTTGATCATAGCCATACTGGTTGTGAAGTGGTATCTCACTGTGGTGTGAGTTTGCGTTTCCCATCCCCTGGCCTACTGCATTCTGGGTTTACATCCTTAAGGATTTGCCTCCAGCACCTACCTCCCTCCACTGAGTCTGTCCAGTCAGTAGATGAATATGTTTGGGTCCCTCCCGTTTTAAAAAACAAAGCAGAAACTGCCGTCCTATCTATAAAAGGTAATCTCCGTGTATATTTCCACTTGTCATATTCATCACTTTCTAGCAGTTGGCTAATAGAGACAACATCAGTTTTTCCTAAAGAAATTCCTATACCCCCAAAGAAACTCCTATTTCAGGGATATGCATCCACGATTTTCAGCTGTGGTTGATTCCATGAGGATGATTTTCACGTGATCTAGTTTTCTAATTCAGTCTCAAACTTCTTTTAGATTCACTACTTTATATGCTAGGAAATTGCTCTTTATTTTTGGCTTGAATACCACATGGGTGGGTATCCCTTTCAATGAAGAACAGTCTCTCTGTCAGGAACACAAAGCAGAACTGTCTCTATCAGTACCTTCAGCTCAGTTTAATCCTCATCAAATATATAACATTACAAGATGAAAGGCTTTTATTCAACAATGCTAGAAAACATTTGCAACAGATAATGAAAACAAAATAGTCTCTCTAGAGATAAAGCTATTTCTTCTTAAGCCACATCCACCAACGTTCCCCTACTGAGAATTCAGATGTTTAAAGTTTCACATTCTAAACCTACTGACTCTGCCCTTTGCCCGCACACTTTCAACGAAACCTTCTTCTGCCTCATCGTGAACTCCAGTCCTTCCTTTTCTCCCAATCCCCATGTTCAAATCTTGTTAAATATTAAAAGATACATGTGGTACACAGAATAGTAAGATGATCCCCAAGATTCCTTCCCCCAGTATACCTGCCCTGTACAATTTCCTTGAGTGTGTGGGGCAGACTGACGAGCATATGACACATCGCTAATGGGACTGTGCTCCTACTCAGTTGACTTTGAGTTCATCAAAAGGGGAGACTGTCCTGGATGGGCCTCACCTAATCAGGTGCTCCATTTAAAAGAGAGGTAAGTATCCAAGAGACATGCTCCTTACTGCCTCAAGCACAAAGCAAACTGGGACGTAGTGAGAGGAGAGGCTGTGTGGTAAGGACCTGAGCACAGACCAGGTGCTGGGAGTGGTCCCCGATGAGAGGCAGTGAGAATATACGACCTCTGTCCTACAGAGCCAAGGACATTCATTCTGCCAACAACCAGCAAGCTTGAATACATCAGGTCACACAAGATCACAGCCGCAGCTGACAACTTGACTTCAGTCTCGAGAGACTGAGTAGACAGCCCAGCGAACCTGCGCCCAGGCTACCGACCGAAGGAAACTGTCTGGTAACACATCCCTGCCGTGTGGACGGTAATTTGTTACGCAGTCATAAAAAACTAATACGGCAGTTTAAAAATAATATCCTCCATTCTGTTTGTATCTCTTCAAAAGAAGTTGATTAGAGAATGAATTTTAGCACCAGTATTTTCATCAAAGGGTAGAAAAACCTAGAAGCCAGCAAAGCATCAGTAGCATTTATTAAATAATTAGAAGTGAGCTTGACGCCATTCTCTGGGGGTGGCCACACAAAAATTGCCGAATGCTCTTACAATTCTGGCCTCAGTGATCACATGAATTGCTACAATACCTCGATCCTCCAGTGGGTTGCCAGCAAGGTTAATTGTGTGGAGTCCTGAGTTGGGATTATGCGCTAGAGCACTGGCCAGTTTTTGGGCAAAATCTCTGCAAGTAAACAAAACAGTAAGATTAAAGAACACAAAATGCAATACTGCTCAAATAAAAGTTTGACAGCTAGAAGAGCTAGAGTGAAATCTAAAAAAAGAAAACCTTTCTTTACAATATTAATCTACTTACCATACATTCGTTAACACCCTATCTAGTCTGTATACACAAGTATAAGTATATATCCTCATTAGAGAAATCTGTAAACCCATAGCCAAAATGTGGTTCATTTTCATTAGCCAAAACCTCATTCAAAAGCAAAAAGAAAATATATAATTGCCCCTTTAAAATAGTATTACTTAGTCCCTCCATAACTTAAAAAAAAATCCTGAATTGAACCTGCTTCTCATGGAAACGGCAATCAGCTGTTCACCCTATCTCACTTCGCACAATACTCACAAATGCAAAACTGATTGCCCTAATTATTGAGTTTAAAGGCTACGATTGCTACCATTATGTTTTAACAAAAATTCAAAATCACTATTTTAGGTATGTTGTACTTAAAATAACACACTAAGTGCTATGATTATGAAGCTGTCAACCCCCCTCACTTAGGAGCAGTAAAGTCTTTGTTCTGGCAGATTTGAACTCCACGTGAGGCTTGGGCACTGCCGACCGAGCCATTCCCAACTACTGAACAAGGTTAAGTATGGATTTGGAAAGAGAGAGAAACACATAAAACAGATCTAAGCAAAATGGGAAATATGTTATTATCAGGACTACCATGAATGATATTCCTAAGAGCTAACACAGAGCATCTATAATATGAAAGCTACTTTTCTAAGGATTTTACATAAGTTTACTTCTCGCAGCCATCATTCTATAAGGTAGGTGCTATTGTGTTCTCCATCCTAAAGATATAAAAAGAGTGAGGCTCAGAAGTGCAGCAATTCGCCCAAGGCCATAAGGCACCTGGCTCAGGACCCACTGTCCTAACCACCACTCCGGGCTCCCTTGAAAACATCCAGTGACCAGACCACAGAGGATGTTATAAAATCCTTGATCTTTGTGATGATGGGGAGCACAGGGATCCTTTATTTATTTTTTTTTTTAAGCGAAAACATTATACTTTATATGTGAGTGCCTCAATCTCTTTAAAAAAAAAACAAACCTATATATTCATTTCAGAGGAAATGGCAGGAAGCTTTTAAGCCACATATTCGTACATTCGGGACAATACTCACGTTCTGAGCCCGGCGTTTTCCAACACCAATTCCTCCAGCCGACTGGACCTACTCACCACTCTCAAGATCTGTTCACAGACATCGGTGGACTGTAAGAGAAGACACTGTGTGACCATGCCCTAAGTCTCAAGGCAATCTCACTCTGTTGTCACAAATCCATGCAGATGCAAAGTTTTAATTAAATAAACCACATTTTCATGCAGTAATTCCTTCGACAAAACCTGACCCGGCCTCTACCACTATGCACCATCACAATGAAGGTCCTGGGGATACAACAACAAGCAAGCACAGAAAGTCCCTGCCTTTAAGAGTATACCACCCAGCAGGTCGCTGAGACAAGAAAACAGACAATTACAACGGAACCGTTAAAAGGCCATTTCAGTAGTGCTGTCGGCACTCAGAGGCATATCCCAATCTTGGGAAAACCAAAAGGAATTCCCAAAGAATGTGACCTCCAGCGTAAGAACAAAAGACTTAGTGTTGGTAACGATGTTAAGGTTCCTAGTGACAATCCTTTTGCTGAGCTCTTGTGTTGCGCTAGGCCCCAAGCTAAGCCCTTTGTGTGTATTTTATCATAAAACTGCGAAGTATTATTCCCGTTTCATAGATAAGAAAGTTAAGGTTCAAAGATGTCATGTACTTTAAAAGGGTGGCTGAATAAGCACTTGATAAACGTTAACTATTACGACGTTCCTTAGGGGCGCCTGGGTGGCTCAGTCGTTAAGCGTCTGCCTTGGGCTCAGGTCATGATCCCAGGGTCCTGGGATTGAGTCCCACATCGGGCTCCCTGCTCCGTGGGAAGTCTGCTTCTCCCTCTGCCTCTGCTCCCTTCTTGTGCTCTCTCACTCCGATAAATAAATACATATGTACATAAAAAACTATTACGATGTTCCTGCTAGTATTCTCTAAAATAAAGGGGGAAACAACCCAACAAGAATTCAATAAGTGCTCTCTCATGTTAATAAACATTGTTTTTTAAAATTAAGTAGTTGTAAAGTTGTATCTGTCTAAATATTTTAAGTGCTTAGGATATAATATGAAAATGCAAAATTAAAATGAAGTGTTTAATAAAGATCACAACTGAAATGGCTGATGTAGATAGTGCAAGGCTTGAGGGTGCTAGGAAAAATGAAGAGTTGTATCCTGGTGGCGGAAGTGTACAAATTTTTTTTTAATTTTACATATTAATGTTTTTTAATTTGTTTATGTTTCTGCTTTATCCCAAAACTAATTTAAGGTGGCTCCTGATTTTAAAATTACTTCTACATTAAAAAGTGATTTTAAAATCTAATCACAACTTAGGGTCTATTTAAACCCTTTATGATATAGAAGGAAGGAAGGAAGGAAGGGAGGGAGGGAGGGAAGGAAGAAAGAGAGGGAGGGAGGGGGGAGGGAAGGAAGGAAGGAAGGAAGGAAGGAAGGAAGGAAGGAAGGAAGGAAAAGAAAAGAAAGAAATGCAGGAAGGAGGGAAGGGAGGGAGGGAAGGTGGGGGGAGGGGAAGGAGAAAATCGTGTGTACCATGGCATACTATAATCAAAGCCGTTTCTTTTCCTAAAATACCACAAAAAAATTACAATTCTTTCATTCATCAGATCACATATATTCAACTGGATCAGCCATCACTGCAATAGTCTGAAATGTAACAAAAATTGGCTAGTGAATATCCTTTAGAAAACCTCACTTGGAAACACACAAGTCCCACAGCATCTAAGGCACTTGTGATTCTCATGTGCTGTCCGATTTCATTCAGTCTACAATGTAGCTTTCACACAGTCCGGGAGTTTCTGATGTGTCCCACAGACTGATGAAGGAAGAGGAAAATTAATTCCACTTGCAATTTACATTACGCCGATGGTGGTGATTTTCAAAATGGTGACCCCCTTATCAGTGTAATTCTTGTCTTATAATATACAACCAGGGGTATTGACCCTACTCTGTGCTGGCATGATAAAAAGTCACTGCTTAGACAATGTTTTTGCAGGGATTATCCTAATTTCCAAAAACAATCCATGGTATATCCTTATCTTTCCTGAGCTACCTTACAGAGTATCCAGAAAAACAATTTTCCAAAGCAGGGCTTTCATTTACCTATGGGGTATCATTACTATAATAAAAATTTATTACAGAAAATGTACAAAAATATGTCCAACTTTTGTTTAAAATGTTTGTAGGGGGAGAGGTAGAACACGTCATTCATGTCTACGTTAATTTTGCTACTTTTTATTAAGTGCCCAAGTACATGAGAAGAATTGTTTTCTGCACTGAAGAATAGTATAGTGATGAAATTTGTAAAGAGCTACACACCCCCCAAACCTAGCACGTGAGTAGCACGTGACCATTAGCGTAGTGCCCCGAAGCTGCGGATCAGAAAAGGTTCCGAGGTTGCATCTTGCCATCCCCATCTAAGGGGCAAGTATCAGTTATTTTCAACGTTGGGTGAAGAACATGAAAAACTGCTATTCTTTTTGAAGACTGAAGAGTGATATCCCAAAGACTATTCTTCATTTTAAAATACCAAGTGTTAAAAATATACACATAGGTATTTTTGCGCTTAAATCTTAGTTACTAGGAAAGCAGTAAGGGCAGCCCTCAAATCCTGTCACTACACTTCCTTTCATCATCCCAGGACATCCAAGGAAGCATCTGAGTACCTACGTGCTTCGTGTTCCAGAACTGAAATGATGAGGTGCATAATTTCTTGCCTAAACATCTAAGGCAACGGCAGAGATCATGCCCGGGAGAAACAATGATAGAAGGGCAGCCCCTATGGCCAGGACGCATTCCTGTAATCGCGAGTTGGCACAATTTCCAAAAGTGGGATAGGCAGCCCCTCCGCAGAGCAGTCCTGTGCCCCATTTTGAAAGTCATGAACTTATAGGGAGGTTTCAATGAGCCAGGTCAACTGACCTGGTAGAGAAGCATTGTTCTCCCCGATCCTACAATCACTGAGCTAATCTACTTCTCATTCCTCGAATGGCTCCCCTCTCCTGCCTGTCATCTCTGCGGGCTCAAGTCCTGCAAACGGCAGCAATTGAGAGGCTTCTGTTGCCGGGTCTCCCTCCCATCATGGCGTCCTGTCCATTCCCTGGGAGTTCACCTGGCTCCCCGCCATGCCTAGCTCCACCCTCACTGAGTGCAGATCCTCCCCCTGTGTAGCTGATACAGTTTCCATAACTCACATTCCCATACTTGCTACCAAGTATTTGATGATATAAAAATAATAGCAAGAAATGCCTACAATATGTCAGGTACTATGTTAGCATTTCTATATACATGATTTACTCATCTCAATAACCTGCAAATTAGCTATACTGCTATGTCCATTCATTCATTCAACAAACTAATGTGACACCTATTTATTAAACCAATTTTTATGGAATAGCTATCATGAGCCAATATACTCTGGTAAGCACTGGACAGAGATGAATAAGACATGAACTCCAATTAACTCTCAGTAATAGGAAGGTGAGGCCCTGGGATGTCAAGTAACTTCCCTAAGGCCCCACGGCCTTGCCGTAGGAGCCAGAATCTGAGACCCAGGTTTCTGTTTCCAAGCCCACACTCTTTCCTGTACCACACTGGCTCTTAGTGGGCCCCAAATGAGCTCAGTCCATGCCCATACTAATAATACCTTAAGCCGCTCACACCCCAGCCAGGTTTGGAGAACCAGCAGCCTGTCCACTAGCAAACCTCAACCCTCCATTTTCTACAGATCCCTTGCCTCCATCAAAATCCTACCTCTTCACTATGAAAATCGTTAAGCCTCCCGTTTCCATGACCTCTGAAAGCTGGAGGCTTGAATGCAGAGTCGCCAATAAAACCACCTCTAGATTATTTCCTGTCCTAAAATGAAGTAGCAGAAAGCTAACATATATTTAAGCGTCTGCCCATACGGCTGCTCTTAACTTGCAAAAAAATCCCCAACAAAGCACCTCACTTCCACTAGTAAAAGAGACCAAAAATTTGGCTCCCCCATACCTTATGAAAACTAATATCTCACTTTCAATTTCATTTTGCTGACATATAAATCTGCCCAAAAACTCCTCTAGAAAATTAATGTTAACTAGTATCACTCCAGCAGACCAACTCTACCTGATCATGTTTTCCCAAATTCTTAGGAAGGGAAGCTTTGTGGAGATGGAATGCAGGATAGAAACATCAAGTCTGCTATTTGCAGCTGTGCAAACGTAACTTTAATAGTTTTTGCCAACAGCATGTGTGTGTACTGAGGCTCTGCTAAATGTGTCTCTCTGTTCATTATCTAAAATTGCCTGAAGCAGCTGAAAACATGAGGAAGTACTTCCCTGGAGCATCTCACATTACCAACTTGGTAAAATGGTATGCAGATCATTTACAGGAAAATACATCTCCTCAAGAAAAAAGCATGTACACAGCTCGCCAGATGAGTAGAAAAACAAATGTTTTTTGATAACTATCAGGCTTTTGAAACTCAGCAGAAGTAAGCAACATTTGCAACATCTTCACTTACTTACCAGTTTCAGATCCTTAGAAGATAGCTTTGTGAACCACTGATTGTACTCCAGAGCAGCAATGATGGGAATTAGGTCCCTAGAAGCAGAAATAACAACATCCATTGAAAGCCCTCTTACCAGAGCCTTATTGGTGCTTTATTCTCAACCCACGACATCCAAGTTCACTTGTTAGCTCCTTTTATTTACAAACACAACATCCCACTAAAACTACTTCAACCACGAGACAACAATTCTCTGGGACAGACCTTCAGTATGATGGCAGCAGAATTCCGAAAAGCTGAATTTAAACGACCTCTAGGGCCCCTAATGTCTATATGTAAAGGAAAAGAGACTAGTAGCAGCATTTGCCCAGGGAACCTCCTTGCTCTAGGAGAAACTGTACTCCTCCTTCTATGTTAATGAGTCTGATTTCTTTAACCATCAAGAATGTCATATACAGTTTAACCTGGAACAATACCGGTTTGAACCGCATGGGTTTCTTTTTAATAAAAAAAAGTATAGCACTCTAAATTTATTTTTCTCTTCCTTATGATTTCCTCAGTAACATTTTCTTTCCCCTAAGCTTACTTTATTGTGAGAATACAGTATATAATACATGTACACATACAAAGTGTGTGTTACATGTTTATGTTATCGGTAAAGCTTCTGGTCAACATGAGGCTATGAGTACTTAACATTTTTCGGGAGTGAAAGGCTTATACTTGGATTTTCGACTGTGAGGGGAGATCACTGCCGCAGCCCCCACCCTCCCACTGTTAAGAGTCAACTGTGTTCTCTAGTTGAGTTTATATTGCAAGCAAGGAAGGACACTGTCTAGCCTTGCAGATAAGTGACCCTGAATGGATTCCCGATGCTTAGCCAGCATCCTACAACCCTCTGGTACTTTCTTGTAGTTCCTTGTACGGATCACACACATGAGCTAGCCCGGGTGTGTTTTTGTCTTATGCTTCACACACATTCTTCAGCCATGGAGGGCAGCTACTTGCATCAGAGACCTGTCTGCACTCTATTTATCCAGCCTGACCTGCTACAACATGCCCCTCACTCACCCTCAGGCCAAAAGGCAGATGGTTTACTACACATCAAACATACCAGACAATGTCACAGTCAGAAGTTGTCTTTTACTGCTGTGTTCGGCTACGAGAATCCAATGATCCTGCGATGCGTACATTACACATCCTCTAGGAGTCCCCTACCTAGGTCACCCCAGCCAGCACCCTGTTTGCGTCTCTGTTTAGCATTAATTTTACTCGGCCTTGGATAATAGTTGGTATTCAACATCTGTCTCCCCCGCCCCTTCCCAGGTTGTAAGTTCTTTGAAAACCAACTCTATTTCGGTTGCCTGGCTTCAGTGAGACCATAATCAGTTTCACCCGCATGGCAGGACACACAGCAAATACTCAAATTTTTACTGAGATAGAAAAGAAAGGCAGAAGGTGGAAAGAGAGGTGAAATTCACATTATTTCATAACTTCTGGTCCCAGGCCCCATGGCGGGCAAGCTACACAGACCATCTCATTCAACTACATGATCCTGGGGTCCCGGGATCGAGTCCTGCGTCGGGCTCCCTGCTGAGCAGTTGAGTCAGCTTCTCCCTCTCCCTCTGCTTCTCCCCCTACTTGTGCGCTCTCTCCCTCTCTCTCTTGCAAATAAGTAAATAAAATATTAAATAAATAAATAAATGGGAGAAAGGAGCCCCACAGGTAGGGGAGAAAAACAACGCAAAGGAATTACTAGTCTCAGTCACCTTGTTCCACAGGCCCCCTGCCCTACCGAACAGCCTCTTTATTAATCTTGCTTACGTTTTAGAATTCAGATTAGGACGAACAGCAACTCTTGCCATGGTGGTTTTACACTCCCTTTACCGCTCCTCCCTCCCTGCCCCCCGACCACGTGCAAGAGTGAACGCTCTCCCTGGGATGTGGTGACAGTTTGTTGCTTCTCTGGGGGCAAATGGCGGCTTCTCACACGCTTAGTCCAAGAGTGTTCCCTGTACTTCTCCATTCAGGAACTAGGGCAAAGCATTCTCGGCTTCTCTCCTTCTGTCGATTTAATGTCAAGTAGCTACTACACTTCAGAGCCTCTTTATTATGTGTTCTAGCCTGTCACCTGATTGGGAGCGCAGCTGGCTTTTGTCATAATGAAGTCGTTGGCAGGAAGTGAAGAGCACATCACTAATAGAACCAGGCTTTGCACTGACACAGGGGGTGGGGCAGCATCGTCTCTACATACGAACTGCAAACACCCTGAAAAGGCAGAGCAAACTCCACAGCTAGAGGTAGAGAATCTAGGAGAAGAAATGGTCAACAGAGCAAGGAATGGCTTAGTCAAAGAGTTTTTATATCTGACGCCAAAAGCATGATCCATAAAAGGGAAAAATGGATAAATCGGACTTCACCTAAATCAACCGTCTTTGCTCTGCCAAAGATCTGTTAAGAGAAGGGCAAGACAAGCCCCGTGCTGAGGTAAATGCTGGCTCTTGGAGGTCAGTAATAAGAAACTACCCAATTTTTAAAAACAGGCAAAAAGACCTAAACAAGACAGTTTCATCAGATAAGATATATCAATGGCAAAGAAGTATATAAAAAGACATTTGAGGGGCGCCTGGGTGGCTCAGTCGATTAAGTGCCTGCCTTTGGTTCAGGTCATGATCCCAGGGTCCTGGGATCGAGCCCCGCATCGGGCTCCCTGCTCAGTGAGGAGTCTGCTTCTCCCTCTCCCTCTGTGTACTCACTCTCTCTCTCAAATAAATAAATAAATCTTTAAAAGAAAAAAGAGATCTTTCAAAAAAAAAAAAAAAAAAAAAGGATGTTTGAAATTATTAGCCATTAAAGAAATGCAGTTTAAAGCCAAAAGGAGATGCCACTATAAACTTACTGAATTGCTAAAATTAAAAAAACAAAAAACAAAAAAAAAACTAACAAGGGCTGGCAAGGATGCCGAGCAACCGAAACCCTCATGCAAACCCTCATACGTTGCTGAGGGGAATGCAAATAGCACAGTGGAGGTGGAAAACAGTCCGACAGTGCCTACGTTTAACATACACTTACCATAAGACCCAGCAGTCTCAATCCTACGTCCTCAACCGAGAGGAATAAAAATTTGTCCTTACACAAAAACTTACATATTATTGTTTATAACGGCTGTATTCCATACTGTCAGACACGGGAGACAACATGGATGTCTTCCTCTGATGCTGTGGGACTTCCAGGGCAAAGGATAGAAAAGGCAATAATATGGCTTCTGCTCAGCTCCCTCTCTTGACACGCTCACCCGTGGAATCCAGCTGCCTTGCTCTGAGAAGGTCCGGGCCACATGGGAAGGCCACGTGGAAGTGTCCCGGCAGACAGCATCAGCCACCAGACGTGTGAATGAGGAAACCTTCAGACGGCTCCGGAGCCAGCCCCCATCTGACCGTAAGGGTTGGGAAGAGCGCAAGCAAAATCCGCCTAGCAGAGCCCCATCGAGCCCAGAACAGAGACAGGTACCTGAAAGTGACCACTCATGCTGTAGGCCATTCAGTCTGGAGTGGTTTGCATACAGCAGTAAACAAACAGGACACTTAAGTGTCCAGAAACCAGCCTTGAAAGTTACAGTACCAGAAACAGGACCATAGACAGGGTGACCATAAAAAGCTTTGAAGCAGAGAAATGTTTCAGGAGGTTAACAACTTCAGCAAAGTAGGTAGGACGTATCAGAGGAAGGTGACAGTTTCCATTATGCAGGCAAGATGTATCCAAGATAACAGCAGAAGCCCGAGGCAGACAGAAAGTGGCTTCTGGAGCGAGGCTAGAACAGGAGCCAAGGCAAAATAAATAATTTTTCCTAAATTCATTAAAGAGTTACTGCAACCCCAACTGAAATATGCATGCTTTTATGATGAAGCCATAAAGAAACACAAGGACTGTTAGAATAATTATTACAACCAGGTGGGGGAGGGGCGCAGGGGGAACCGCAAAGGAAAACGGATTCATGCAGGTCTTCTTAGGAGAGGCAACAGCCCATCTCTTGACCTAAGTGGTGGATAGAGTGGTTGACTTTATCACTATTTGCATTCTGGCACACTACTGCACACTTTTCTCTCCACAATCAACACTAAGAATAGCCTTAGGAGCGTTGCTCAAAAGGGTCATGAAGCTAACCCAAATATCCAACCACCTGCAGAATGGATAAATGGTGGAATGTTCACACATTAGAACACAAAACAGAAACCAAAGTAAATGAGCTACAGCTGCACATAACAGCAGGTCAAACCTCGGTTCTCGGGTCTGAAACCTCTCACACCCTGGCTGGACTGTGCGGAGAATGGGGAGCTTTCAGTCTGAGAAGCAAGCATCCAGAAAGCACTTCAGAAAACACTTTAGAGAAAAGCCAAGGTCTGAACCAAGGCTCATTCGGGATTCCTCGAATCTGTTCCTCTCGGACCGTCCAAGCCACCAGGACAGCCACCACACAGAGGCCAAAGTTCCGGGAGACTCCGCCTAACTATAACAAACTATCACCAATCATGACCAAAACCGGTGCATCTCACCCCAACAGAAAAAACACAAGACCGCACGTCAATAATTTGATTCCTGAGAGTTCATTTTCCCAGATGGCTTTCTTAGAACACAGTAATAAGCAAGCAAATCGGCAAACCCAGGATAAATAGCCAATTTGGCATTCGCGCGGGGCCCCCAGCAGCTGTGCTGATATCACCTCACTGCAAAGAGCTCCCTGCACTCCCCTGGTGGGGCCTGTGCCAGCCAGAACCAGCCCCTTCTCCTGTTTTCACTAAGCCCTGCAGGCATTATATTATATAATGCAGAAAGGTTTCCAAACACCAATGCTTGTCATCTTGACCGATTTTCACGGGGTAACAGCTTTTTACCATCAGTCCATGACACTGACTGTATATCCCACTGGATTTAGCTTTGATCTCCTAAGAGACTCTTAATTGCCACTTGACTTTTGATCTGAAGAGTAAAGTCATCCTTGAAGAGCTTACAGTTCAGGGAACCCTCTCCTGAGTCCTGGCAACATGGCAACACAGTATTCTCTTGCCATTTCCATAGGATACTTCTACCTTTCCTTAAA